GCTCCGGTCGCTCATTGGCCAGCGCCGGTTGGGTGTCCAGCCGGACTCGAACTCAAAGCAGTCTGGTGCACTTTGGCAGAATACTGCCTCACTTGAGCCTTAGCCCACACGTCTCCGGTACCGGTCGCAGAATCGCGTCTCTGTGCTCACCACGAGGCAATAGGGTGGGGTTGTGGTGTGTGGGTGTGGCTGAGGGTGTGGGTGAGGGTGAGGGTGGTGCAGGGGATTCGCTTGCCTTTTCGCATTTCGAGCCGCAAAGGAGACCCACGAACCCGGGCGGACAGTCGCAGCCGGTCAGGTCCGCTCGACACCGAGCCCCGTTCTGGCAAGCGGAGCAGGTGTACTCGCAGGCCGGGCCGAAATAGCCGCTCTCGCATAGTCGTCCCTCTGCAAGGAGGGCGAGAGGGAGAGGGGGAGAGAGGGAGAGAGGAAAAGGAGGGAAGGAGATAAGTGGAGAGGTAAGTCAGAGCCCATACACACACACACGTACACACACACGTACACACAGCGAGAGAAGCGTCGAGTAATTTGTCTTTTCGGCATTCGAGTTCGAGCAGCCGAAATCCGGACCCTGTCTTAAGGGACGATACCGATGCAGCAAAAAGAGGCATTGTGGAGCAGAAGAGACTTTAATGTGTGTGTGTATGTGTGTGTGTGTGTGTGTTTTGTATGCCAGGCTGTCGCTTAAACATTCGAAAGGATTGCTATTCCTCTTTCGCGGCAGACGGGTTTCCCAGACGCTCCCAGTTGCGCATACTTCATCTCGAACGGGTCCTGGTGCTCCGAGACGCCACCAGTTGCTGGTTGGCACTAACTTGTGACCTCGGACAGACTCTTGCTTGTCTCGAGGCTCGAGTGGACGCTCTTGCGTCGTCGCTCTCGACTTGCCGGCTCCGGACGGACAAAGCGCACTGACACACACGTCGTCTTTCCGGATCCATTTGAGCCGGCTGAGCCGGAAGCTGTGAGCACAGCGCTGTCCGGTTTGAGGCCAATTCCCGAAAAGGCATCGAGACTCAGTTCGAGTCC